GATTAAACTCGTCTTCACATGAACGCAGCTCAGATCATTAACGAGGCGCCGCACAGCTTCAAGCGTCCGAAAATTAAAAAGCTCAACCTGAAAATAATTAAACCCCTGAAAAAAACCTTAGTAAAAACAAAAAGATTGATTTAAAAATGATGAAAAAATGTTTCATTGTAATTCAAAGTTTAAAATGAGATGATTTTAATTTATTAATTACAGGAAATTAAATAATTTATTTTATTACAGATGGAAAATCAAAAATAAAATTGTTCTGTTTGTTTTCGATGTTCTGCCTCAGGATAAAAGACTCTGTAAATGTTTGTCTCTAATCTTGGATCAGGATTCAGTCAGAGTCGACAGGAAACAGGAAGAGGTTTGAACCTAGAGTTTCAAAATAAGAGTCTGTCAGAGCTCACATTATTACAGAGGATCTGTGGTTTTAGTTTTTTATTGTTGAATTTAAGATCTTTTGGTAAATAAACAAAGTCCCAGAGAGCATCGTGATTAAAAACCAACATCAAAATGTTTAAAAGAACCAGAAGAAGAAAGTAAAATCTGTTAAAGTTCTGATKTGAAACCCTCTCAGAGGTGACCTTTGACCTGGTGTCCTGGGGTCGCAGGGTCCAAACTGCAGCTGAATACCTTCACATCAGCCTGCTTTGTTTCCTCAAACACCTCCTGATCAATAGATGAATATTTATTTGTGTTTTTGGGAAGTTGGCTCGCAGCTTCCGGGCTCGGGGGTGGAATTCCCCCGGCGGCAGATTAATACAGCCGTGACCTTTCTGCGCCCCCATTACCCGTGCTTAATGCCTCATTTGTAGGCCGGTTTGTTGAGGCGGCTGCGATCGGGCCGGGCCTGACGCAGAGCGRGGGAGGAGGAGGAGGAGGAGCAGCTCAGGTGTGCAGCAGGAGGTTTTAATGGAGGCTCAAAGGGAATAAAAGCAGCTGAGGAAGACTCCCGACACCTTCACCCACACATCCTATCAAACACTTCCTGTACGTCCTCACACCTGGCTCACYGCAACAAGAAATCCTTCAGAGCAGAAACAGCTCACCTGCTTCAGGTGAAACATCAGCATCAATCATTTACGTCATTTTCAAAACTAAAACTAATAAAAAAAGATTTAAAAAAAACTGAAGTCTTTTAAACCAGCAGCTTGTTGTTGCAGCTGGGTTGTACTTAGTTACGAAAAAGTAGGCGGGGCTTAGCATTGCTAACATCCTCACCTACTCTAACCAAGACCAGGTTCAGGTTCATTTACAGAAACGATCCCCCTCTCTGAGAACTGGACATGTTCTGGACCTCAGAACCACGGAGCAGACTCCTGGAACCGGTCCACCTGATCCTCCATATTTAACGTCATTTAAATCAGAGGTTCTTGGGCCGTGAGCGCCACCTTGAGGGCCTCAAAGGAACAACAGTTTTTAACTTTGGGCCACAGAGGGCCGTGGGACCACATTGATTTAGAATAAGGTGTAATACAC